TTGAGTATCTAAGTTGATCAACATAAAAAGATATATTTACTCTATCAAACTCACATGTTATTGAGTTCTCACTTTCTTGATAACTTTATTGATTGTTCCCTTGAAATGATTTTGCCTGCAAATTTGTTTTCTCTAGAACCTTTTCAAGTTTCTGGCTTTTCAAACATCAACTCAAGTTTGTAATTTCATCTTTTCTTATTCTTTTTGAAACTCGATTTCTCCAGAACTATATTTGAGCTTCTATTGTTTAACCAAAGTTTTTGAACATTTCTCAATAATGTTATCTAGAATAATGTTATCAAGTTTCTGGCTTTATTATCTAAAACTTTTCTTGGTTATCGATAAATTTCTCCAGAACCTTGTTCCTAAGATTCTTTTTTTTATACAAGCTTTTTATCGGGAAACTAGTTTTTCGATAATAACTTTGAGTTTTATGAGTTTAATTCATATTTGAGTAAAAGGTTCCTTCTATCATTTTTTTCAAAAATCTTTTCAAAAACGCTGCTTCTTGAACTCTTTATCAAGTAGTCTTCTTCTCAATTAGGAACTCAAGTAATAACACTTTTGTTTTTTAAACTTTAAATTCTCTGTGAAAAAGATTTATTCACTATATTCTCGAAAAAATCTTCAAGTTAGCACTTAAGAGTCCACAGTTTTTAAATTTTATTCTAACTTGACTCAAAGGGCAAAAAGTTTGCATCAAATGTTTATCTCAAACTTTGACTAACTACTATATTCAATGACAATATCTTGTGTAGATTGATCAAGTAAAGAAAGGAGGTATCATGTTGAATTTCACCATGTTGAATGATCAAGAAGAAGAAGAAATGAGAGAGTATGACTAAGAAGCATGACCTCGAATCAAAGTGGTCGAGAATAGAAAAGCTAAAATCAAGTTATCTAAGCAACATTACTCAATAAAGTAATCGAGTAATATTTAATTTGATAAATTTTTAAAGTAAAAACATGGACAATGGACAATGGGAATATCAAGATTCAATTTTTTAGATTTGATATTAGAGGTTGCTATGACTAATTAAAAGCTAGAATAGTTCAATTGGAAGTTAAAATGCTCAAACCAGAAGCTATATAATCACATCTTGAATCATATTTCACCAAAACTTAAATATAACCTTCAGAGATGATTTTGACATGTGTTTCTTGAGTTCATTTTCAAGTTACATGTTACTCCAGTACTTTTCGAGAAAACACATACTCTTGTTATGCTTTATTCTTTATTTAGCTCTAACACATGTTCGGTATTTTTATAATATTTCCTAAGCTACAAATTTGTTTGAGGTGAAACTTGATTCATACGAAACTAAATTCAGAACATGGTTCATTGATATGAAGAAAAACTCCAAAGAGTTTCATATCAAGGAGATTTGCCGCTCGGAAGATGCTACTAAGGCTTCACACCTTATCCCTGATCTTCAGTCACTATGATGAAGATGTCTTTGAAACTACAAGGACTTTTGGAGTATACTTGTTGCATTTGAAAGTAGACTTGAAGACCTTTCTACTTATAGGTCATTTGCCAAATTTGGAGTTGAATTGGAATATTTATGATCACTCAAAATTGACATTCGTTCTGTTTGCATCAGAGTTCCAATGTCAAAAACAAGAAGTTCTATTTTCTACTTCATACTTGAACAAGTTGTCTAGTAAAGGCATACTCAAGTTAGTTATCAAGTAAAAGCAAGAAAAATAGGTGATATATTTCTAACTCATACGCTTACTTGAATAACTATTCCAGTCAGAGATAACTTCTTCACACTTGTTTTCTGATGGATTCAAAATCAAGTCTAAATCTTTTGTTACTCCATCTAAACATATTTGATACTTATGAAAATGTCTGAGATTATCCAACAACATGTGTTAGCAAGTGATTGAGTAGGGATTAAGCCACAACAGACTGATGACGTTGCTAATCAACTTTTTGCCAGAAGCTTCCAATGACTAGTTTCAACAATCATATTCTTCAAGCCAAATGGGAAGAAAATGTTCAACGGTCAAATGTTCAATATCATATGTAAATAGAAGATAATTCAATTTAAAAAAGAAGAGAGAGCAAATGCATTTATAATGTCAAAATTATGAGATTCTTACTTTTATATTTAAAGCTCTGAAATTATATTCTCATCATGCTTTAGTGTTTAAGAAAATCTACTTTATAGAGAGAAGAATGCTTCCATTGTAAATATTAATCTTTGTGAGAGTTGCTCAAACTAGAGAGATCTTGAGCGGGAAACAAATTGTAACTTTATAAGTTGTAAGGAAGAATGGTTATTAGGTACCCATAGAAAACTTGAGGGAGTTGTAGTTATTCTCAAGTACCTGATTTAAACTTGAGAGATATAGTGTATTGAAAATTTCAGAAGTGTTCTGGGGATTGGGCATAGGTCTATGGAGAAGCCGAACTAGGATAAATCATAGTTTGCATCTTCTTTTCCCTTACTTCTTTATACGTCCAGCCAAACTATTTTACTTCTCTTATCACGCTTATCTTGTTCATTATTTTTATATTCTAAGTTTCTTATGGTTTTCACTATATTGCAAGAAGGTTTCTGATTTTAATTAACACTCAATTTAGCCCTCTTCTTGGATGATCAACCATTCTAACACCATTTATAAGTCACATTATAAAATTTTTTATATAAATGTACGAGCGTATCCTTTATTTATTATTATGTAAACTTTTTTTCCATGAGGTATAGTGTATATTATATAAGTGTAAAGTTAAAAGTTGTTAAATTTTAAGACATGGTTAATGAGTTTAAAGTTTTTCTTGATTTCAATAAATATATTGAAAGTGACTTTTAAATAGAACTAAAGGAATATATATACACATTAAGAAAAAATGAAGGGTCTATGACAATATTTAAGTATATGTTTAGTTTTATGTTAAAAATCTTGAAAATTATGGTTTTGAAAATTTTTGACACAAAATCAAGCTGAGCATAATACATTAAGCTTTTATGAACGTTATAAAACAACTCTTAATTTTTCCACTGTCGGAACATTATAACCTTAGCCATCCTGATTAGGAAACAAACTCATGATCTATATAGTAAAGGCTTGGGAAGATGTTATGCTCAATATTGCTGTTCAGTACATTGTTCCTAATATTATTGCTAGCATTCACGCTGCTATCCATTACTCTAACTCCGAATGAAATGGAAATTATTACCAATAATTTATGTTCGTAGATAAAAATTAACAATAAAAAATAATTACCCCCTGATGTCCTTTTTATAAAAAAATGTAATTTTTTGAAAGTTTGTCTTGTCACTCTCATAAGAACATTTTCAGTGGTCTAGTGTATTAATTTTCTTTTAGAAAGGTACTCTTATTAATTACTTGGAAAAGTAGACATAAATTAATTAAGTAGAAAACAATTGCCCAACAATTTCACGAGTAATTTTGGAACCAGACAAATTATTGACAAACTTAATACCATTGTCTAACTCTACTAAATATCTCTCTCTCTCTCTCTCTCTCTCTCTCTCTCTCTCTCTCTCGCAGAACTTAAATAAATCTCTTAAATCTTGTATGTAAAGTAGTTAAAAAAAACTCCTATTATATATTCCATTCAATTCTTCTTATAAGAAACAAATTAAAAAAAAATTCAGATTTAAAATTCTTTTAAAGAAGGCCCATATTAAACGTTGGACATATGTTTTATTAATAACACTTAACTCAATTACTCCATATATTTTTTTTTTGCCAGCGAATTATTCCATATAATTAATAGGAGCATAATAGGAATAATAAAATAAATGCATTAAACAATGGTCCTATGTTTCTTATATCCATCAATAACAGCTAGGCTTGAATAAAAATCCTTATTAATGATGAATAATTAATTTAACTTATTTCTTAATCTTTATAAATTAAGTAAAAATAACTATATAATTAGCAGATATTTGTGTTTTGATGGAAGAACCATAAGTAAATATATAGGAATAAATATTTCATTTCTTATTTGTCCTTTGATGGAAAAAGATGACATTTTCTAAGTATTGACCAAACCGAACTTTTAAACTTATCAGACACAAAAGCTCTTCTGAGGCACAATCTAAAAAACAGCCTCCAATTCTTCAGGGGATGATAATCAGCTCCAACTCTGACATCTGGATATATGTTAGACTTTCACGTCTTAAATTGATTTCTTTATCATGTACTCTTCTAATCTTATTTATAAGACATTTCCAGTATATTTCACATAAACTAAAAAAAAATCTTAAAATGCATTAATTCTCTATTAAAATATAACAATTTTTTAACTTTACCATATTTAACACATGCACCTTTCAAAAGAGATAATTATCTATAATATAATAAATAAAAGACAAAATAGTACATTTACACTAAAAATTTAATAAAATAACTTATAAAATAAGACAAAACAAAAACCTTCTCTCTCTGCCTTATAAATATAAATAGAACCAGAGGAGTAATAGTGAAAGATACATCATTTACTTAGGAAAACTAAACCAGAGCATACTTTTACAAAATTGACTGGGCAATAAAACGAAACTTTGCATTGCAACAATGTGATTGAATATACTCATACTCAACAATAAATAGGCATCATTTTAGTCATAGATGCCGTAGGAGCCCTACTTTGCCCATCTAATCAAACTCGAATGCCATGCGGGGTACAGATAACTTCATTTTGATGGATTGAGTTTAAGCAAATCCCATGTACGTGGATTAAGCAGTCCTAAGTCAACCCAGTCCCTCATTCCAAACACGTCTAACAAGGCCAAAGGGTTTACCCTTCGTATGCTCTCCTCTCCAACATTTCCATTTTCAATCTCTTCTTCACCATAACAAGCATAGTCACCAAAAGCAAGCTTAATAGAAAAGAATCCAGTGGAGCATCAATTATTCTCCCAAATCCTACTTCGCTTTCAACTGATGTGTCTGTTTTTCAAACCGCTCGAGGGAATTAACCGAACCGAAATGGCCATGCCTCCTCCCAACACAAACATGCCTCCTCCCAACACAAACATGCCTTGCAAGAGTCATTTTACCATTTCCTTCATCTCTGGCACACAATGCTATAATTCCCACTGCTTTTATAAACCCAGTAATGTTGGCAGCAATCATGGCCGATGCTGATTAGGAGGGGGGGGGGAAAAAAAAAGTGAAAACAACGTTAGCATTCAAGAATACTAGGATACGATATGAAGGGTGAAAAGGTTAAAGGGGAGAAGAGGGAAATCAATGAAGTTGCTTTTCAATCCCAATTTGGATTTGCTTTATCAGAGATTTCAAAATTTTAGGTAGAAATATCAAGATAAAAAAACAACAAAAAGTTAAAATCACACCGATATGCTATACAACAACTTGGTACCTATAAGGAGCTTTTCCATTTTTCTCGTTGAGGGAAAAGTATAAATATGGAAAGAAAAATCACAGAAGCATATACAAGTGGCGGCGTACAATAAAGTATGCTGTACTCAAGTACACAATTATTAGAAATGAAAATTACACCACAGCTATGCAGCATTGCAGGAAAGAAAGCATGCGCATTCATGGAAGGTTGGTTTTGAGGTTTTTTGACTGCTGCAATAATACTCATACACCCATGCCTTTAAGAAGTTCAGGCATTCTTTTCATTGAAGTCCAACCTAGCAAAATATAATCATGGTCTTTTTAAAACAATCGTTAATTTACACGACAGAATCCAAACATTTCAGGAGAGAACACAAGTATCATATAAAATTTGGAGCGTTTAACTTTTTATCTTTTCAAGAGACCTCCGGTGAATATCTCGTCAACAACATTATTTGCCCCATCATTCTCTCCTTTTTCACAAAGAGGTCTGATGTGTGTTTCAAGTCACAACACTAGAGTAAATGCATTCACAACATCCCCTTTCAGGTCACCTTCACAACATTTCCATTCAAGAATGGCCATGAACAATCTTATATCCAGAATAAAATGATTCAGATTTCATTATAAATAAATAAACACGAGTAAATGCATTTAAAAGGATTGAGTGTGTATTTTTGAATTGCTGAAGCATTTTGGGTTGGGCTTTAGTTAAACCAAAAATTAAAAGGTAAAAACTAATAGATTAATGGTCTAATACTAACCATGAAAAAAATAAATTTAAAAATATAAAAGCTGTGGTTCAAGTATCATTTAGGTTTTGGAAGGAAAAAAGCCAAAACCCAAGCCAAACCCTTAGGTTTAACTCATGTCAGGTGGCCAGCCACTCATTAATTGTTTTGTAAGCCTTGTGTAGTTGTATGAGAGCATCAAAGAGTAAGTTACACATATTGATTAGAAATAGGAAGATAATTACTTCACATTTCACCCCCATGAGTCATACAAGAAAAAGGAAAATGCAGAGCTTTGAAAGCACCAGTTCACAAAAACAGAAAATTTCAAGACTTCAAGATACCTTGCAGACTATCAACATTATAGCATGCACAAACGATGAATTAGTAAGTGGAAAGTGAAAATTTTTCGCATGATAGTATTCCTTAAACAAGAAATTAACAAGAAAAAAAATTCTTTCACAATTTTATTTGGTACCTAAACTCCGCTTATGTTGTATAGCCGGTCCCAAGCCCGGATAAAGGAGGAGGGTTGTGTTAGGCCCTCGACAGCCAACGTAAAAACCCGTCGAATCTCATGAACATGGATCAACGAAGTAATTATGCTAATGCTAGGTCGTTGCCCAGATGTGACGCGCTGTATGGCTCGAGTACAGTGAGAAATGAGCTAGAGCCGCTGCATCGTCGCCCGGATGTAGTGTTAAATGAGCAAGGGCTACCGCACTCTCTTGGACGGAGGCGGCTAAAGAAGTTAGTTCATGAGACTGAGATTAGATTTGGCACTTGGAATATTGGGACGTTAAATGAGAAATCTATAGAAGTAGCAGGAGTTATGAGGGACAGAAGGATTAATATCTTATGCCTCCAAGAAACCAAATGGACTGGAGAAGCTGCCAAGGAACTTGGAGAGTATAAACTTTGGTACACAGGAAAGGTGAGCACAAGGAATGGGGTTGGTTTCATCGCTGATGGGACATGAAAAAAAAACGTGGTAGAGGTTAAAAGGTTTGAGGACAGAATAATATCGTTAAGAGTAATTGTTGGAAAGGATACTATCAATATCATTAGTGCCTATGCACCTCAAGTTGGGGCAGAGACACACCTTAAAGATAAGTTTTGGGAAGATATGGAGGGCTTGGTTCAAAACATACCACTCGAAGAAAAAAATTTTATCGGTGGGGACCTTAATGGACATGTTGGTAAAGAAGCAGGACAATTCAGTAGGGCCCATGGTGGTTTTGGTTTTAGGGAGCTTAATAGTGGAGGACAATCTATTCTCGATTTTTCTCTTGCATACGATCTTAAGATTGTCAACACTTGTTTTAAGAAGCGAGAGAAGCATTTAATCACGTACAAAAGTGGTGTCTCAAAATCACAAATTGATTTCTTTTTGGTGAAGAATCCGGACAGAAGATTGTGTACTAATTGCAAAGTGATTCCAGGAGACGGGGTGAGTGCCCAACATAGAGTACTTATCCTTGATGTATGTTTTAAGAGTACCAGGCAAAAATACCATCAAGTGGCAAAACCCAGGATTAAGTGGTGGCAGTTAAAAGGAGAGAAGCAGGAGTTATTCAAAAGGACTCTTTTGAAGGAAGGGAATTGGGAGTTGCAGGGAAATGCAAACATGATGTGGGAAGAGATAGCTTCAAGGGTTCGTTTGGTAGCTAAAGCAATTCTGGGAGAATCCAAAGGTCCTGGTCAAAGAGATAAGGAGACTTGGTGGTGGAATAAGAGTGTGCAAGAGAAAGTCAAACAGAAAAAAGATTGTTTTAAGGCCATACACTTGTGCAATAGTGTAGAGAACCAGGAAAAGTATCAGTTGGCTGAAAAAGAGACAAAGAGAGCAGTGAGCGAAGCACGTACTAAAGCTTATGAAAGGTTTTATCAGGAGTTAGGAACAAAGACGGGAGAAAGAAATATTTACAAGATCGCGAAGCAAAGGGAGAGGAAAAAGAGAGATCTGGACCAAGTAAAGTGTATAAAGGATGAAGATGGTAAAGTGTTAGTTACTGATGGTGATATTAAGGACAGATGGGAGGCTTACTTTTACAAGTTGTTTAATGAGGGAAGCAATTATGCGACTCAGGACTTGCAGGACTTGCTAATTAACGAAGATGATCGGAATTTGGCTTTCTACCGCAGGATACGTATCGGAGAGGTTAAGGCGGCTCTCAAGAAAATGGACAATGGAAAAGCCGTTGAGCCTGATGGTATCCCTATTGAAGTTTGGAAATGTTTGGGCGATGAGGGGGAGGCGTGGCTAACCAAGCTTTTTAATGAAATTCTACGCTCTAAAAATATGCCGGATGAGTGGAGGAAAAGCATTTTAGTTCCTATTTACAAGAATAAAGGAGACATTCAAAACTGTGCAAGCTACAGGGGGATAAAACTTATGAGTCATACAATGAAGTTGTGGGAAAAAGTGATGGAATATAGATTGAGGTTGGAGACTTCTATTTCGGAAAACCAATTTGGATTTATGCCAGGGAGATCCACATCGGAAGCAATCTATTTACTAAGGGGGTTAATGGAGAGATATAGAAGTAAAAGAAGAGATTTACATATGGTTTTTATTGACCTGGAAAAGGCTTATGATCGTGTGCCAAGAGAAGTATTGTGGAAGGCTTTGGAAAAGAAAGGTGTACGGGTTGCGTATATCAAAGTCATACAAGATATGTATAAGGCGGTAACTACCAGTGTAAGGACGCCTGGGGGGGAGACAGAGGACTTCCCTATTAAGATTGGCCTACATCAGGGATCCTCTCTGAGTCCGTACTTGTTCAACATTGTTCTGGATGTTCTAACTAAACCTATTCAAGAAAGAATCCCTAAGTCCATGCTCTTCGCAGATGATATAGTTCTTATGGCGGAATCAAAAGAAGAGATTAACACTAGTTTGGAGTTATGGAGAAGGACTTTGGAGTCGAAAGGTTTCCGTTTGAGTAGGAACAAAACAGAATATATGCATTGTGATTTTGGAGGGAGGCAAGGTAATAGGGATTTGGAGGTGAGGATGGGAGAGCAAATTATTCCTCAAGTATCAAAGTTTAAATACCTAGGATCCATTATACAGGAGGATGGGGAAATTGATGGAGACATTTCTCATAGAATACAAGCTGGCTGGTTAAAGTGGAGGAAAGCTACCGGAATTATTTGCGATAAGAAGGTACCTGAGAAACTTAAAGGAAAATTTTATCGGACTGCTATAAGACCAGCTATGATGTATGGTAGTGAATGTTGGGCAATAAAGGGAAAACAAGAGCACAAAGTCGGAGTAGCAGAAATGAGGATGTTGAGATGGATGTGTGGTCATACAAGAAAAGATAGGATTCGAAATGAAAAGATCAGGACAAGAGTCGGTGTGGCACCTATCCAAGAGAAAATGGTTGAAAATCGCTTAAGATGGTTTGGACATGTGCAGAGAAGGCCTTTGGAGGCCCCGGTGAGGAGGGTGGATCAAACAAGATGGAGTCCCATAAAAAGAGGCAGGGGAAGACCGAGAAGAACGCTGAATGAGGTCATTGAACGAGACCTCCTAATCAACAACATATCTAAGGATTGGGTTGTTGACAGAGCACGATGGCGTCGTGTGATTCATGTAGCCGACCCCACCTAGTGGGATAAGGCTTGTTGTTTGTTTGTAATTTTATTTGGTACCTAATAAATGCTACAGACTCCCAAAAACCAATACTACTATCGAAGATTCAGACTTTGCTGATTAGAACAATAAATAGTAAGTGGTATTTTCATTTTTCAGGTATCAAAATCAAAATCCAAAACAAAAGAAATGACACCAACTTCTAGTAACAGTCGCCACATGATTCAGCAAAGCGTAATATGAATATTGAGTAATCAAAGGAGCCGAAATTTACTAAGCATTCAACAAAAAGACTGCAAGAATAACAACTTCTACACTTTCTCTATGGCCATTTGTTATGCATGACTGAAATACTCCTAAAGCCAAAAGACATGTCCAGCACGATAGAGCCTTTCCTCTTGAATCATACTGCATTGATGCCCCAAAAAAACAACAAAAATTAATTCAATATCAGATACTCATTTTTGCCAAAGTTAGTATCCCACAATAATAACACTAAGCTGAACCCACCTAAATATCATTCTATATCTCGCACAAAAATACCCTAAATTTGCTCTCTTTCATTGGTAGCAAATATCTATCAGTTGCTTAGGGTTATTGAAAAATTATACATGAGTAAGAGACAAAACATCAGCTCCCAAGAGAATAAACTTTCATAACATGGTCAGACAAAATAATTCATCGGAGCTTAGAGAATATTGTAAAGTTTGAAAAGCACAAATAACTATTATGTCCTGCAATCGTACTATTAAAAGCACCACATAATAGATTTTGTTTTAAATAAAATGCCAAAGAGTTAATAAATAAAATTAGCAATGAACCACAAAGAAAGAAATAATAAAGTCATGTTAAGCCAAAAAGAGAAAAATAACTTGACAACTACTAGCAATGAAAAATTTTAAAAAAAATAAAAAATAAAACATAAGATTTAAACAGAATATAGGCAATTGAAGCCAGCCATTATATAGTCCACAAAGTTTGCTTTGATGAAACAAACTGGTTACTATTACAGCAAATTTCATCACTAATATGAGTATCAAGGATCATCAATCAAAAAGATGTGGAGCAAAGTATCAAACCTTCTTCTGTCGCTTTAGGAGACCTCTAGTGAAGCATTTCATCCAAAAGATTCTTTGCCTTGTCATTCTCACCTTCTTCCAAAAGAGGTCTAGTGATTGTTTCAAAAGTTACAAAAGTAGGTGCGCATCTACTCTCTTTCATTTTATAATGCAATCCTTCACTTCATCAAACAAACCCTCTTTACAAAGTCCTTTAATCATTACATTATATGCATGGACACTCAAAGGATGGCCATTAACCAAAAGATACTGAAAAATCTGCCACATGGTATTTAATCTATTACCCTTGCATAAACCATACAAAATTATGGTATATGTGCATGTATTAGGATGAATCCTTTGGTCAAACATTCGCTTAAATAAAGCAATTGCCTCATCAGGATGATGACTTTTGCACAATTCACCCAACGAGATATTGTAAAATATTATATCTGGAGCATGATGCATCTCATAAACAATATCTTGCACATATGATATTTTACCTGCCTTGCACAAACTGTCAACAAGAGAGTTACAGCTAACAAGATTGGTAATCAAACTTTTGCACTTCATTTCTTTAAAGAGATCCATGGCATCATCTACCATCTTGATTTTACAGAGCCAATTAATCAAAATGTTACAACTAACAATATTAGGAGCCAAAATTCTCTTGCCTCACTAACATAATTGATCATATAGTACTCATTTAGGCGTTGTACGATACTTCATCATCATAGCAACAATAGCTTTAGCGTTGTTGACACTTCCTTCCTTACAAAATGCATCAACCAATATACTAAAAGTATGAACATCAGGGTTGATGCCTTTAAGCCTCATTTCATTAAACAATTTTGCAGCTTCTGGCCATACCATATATCAGAGTTGTAGGTCACAACATTGTGAGATATCCTGTTACCAATAATTTCATAAAATAAATCACAGGCTTCAGTTATGAGTCTTTCTCTGCGAAAACCATCAATAATTATATTTATACACATAACTAAATGAGGCTTAACTGGTCCTCTCGCTATCTTTTGGAGCAATTTAACCGCAGCTCTTGTTTTCTGATTCTCACATAATTCATTGATTAACGTGCCATAACTAATTCCATCCAACCGAAATCCTCTTGCTATCAGATCATCAAGAAAATCTAAGGCCTTCTCAACGTCATCGTTGATGCAAAGGCCCTTCATTAGTGTATTCAAAGTAATCGTATTTGGCTGACAGCCGATTTTAAAAATCTTGCCTAAGACAGAGAAAGCAAAGGTCATTCGACGAACATGGCAATAACAGTTAATCAAGATGCTCAGTGTAACGAAAGATGGCGTGAAACCCTTAGATTCCGCTTGCGCGAAAAGGGAGATAACAGTAGGAAATCTGATTGATTTGGACTATAGAGGGTGGGGGCGCCTATGAAGTAGGCCATGGAAAGAAGACACAGCGTCTTCAATATTATGAGGATTTATCGAATTGGAACGGAAACAGAAGCGGAGAGCAGGGCATACGAAGGAGGAAGACGGAATAAAGACGGAGACCATGCAGAAAACAAGGGAAACTTTGCGAAGGCATACCTTTTTTTTTTGACCGGATGCGAAGGCATACCTTGAAACTCTAGCAAAGCACATTTTCAGATCCTTCGACCAAAAACTCCTGCATCAAAAGAGAAGATCAGATCGAACAGAGGAGATAAGAAATAGTGAGAGAAATCAGCGTTTGCTAAAATATTAATTATTGTCGGCAACAAAATTCCAAAACTTTTTGTTTTCTTTTTTTTTTTTTTTTGGGTCAGAACAAAACTTTTTGTTTGATTACGAATTATATAATTTTGAGAGTTAATATGTGATTTAATTATTTATGCAAATAAAAATAAATCAGATTTTAAGTTAGTGGGGACTGTAAATACGGTTCAAAATAGTTAATTTATTGAAATTTTATGTTTATCATATAAATATAGTAAAAGCAAAAATAGTACTCACAAATTTATTATAATTATGTCAAAAGCAATGCGAATCACCATAAATGATTATCAAATCTATCTTATATTCTTATATACTGAAAAATCAATCACGCTAATTCTAAATCTATATGGAAATTCATATATGAGATTTTACAGTCTATTTGGTTTAATTTACTGTTTTATGCGCATAACCTAACTACCAAAAGAATAAAAGGGCTTTTTTATCTATATATTATAGACAGGTAAAAAAATTATTTAAATGTTACGCCATGAAAAGTATTTACTAAAATATGCCACCTAAAATTATTCAAGGTAAAATTTAGAAATGACCAAAAAAAAAAGATGATGAAAATTGGAAAACTCACCTATTAAAGTATTGTAACGAATCCTAATTTTTACAATTTTTACTGTCTATATTTATTTTAAACTTAAGTCTTTTTAACCTTCAAATAGGAATTTTTTACTTAATTTTTCTAAAATTTATGTACATATCATTCTCCACAAAGACACAGTTGTGTCATATAACTGATGTGACGCTAATTTTTCAAATTGGAAAGCAAAATCATTTAGAATGTAAACGAGCAAAATCATTTAGAAAAAATTACCATTAGGTCCCATCTAAGGGAATTAAATATAAAAAGGTCCTTTAAAATTATGAAATTATTCTGAAGTCTCAAGGGATTTTTTTTACAATAAATTTTATTTGTTTACTTATCAAGTTACCCTTCTTTTTTTTTTTAAATTTACATTGACAACTGAAAGAGCAGTGGTTGACAACTTAGGGTGCAAAGATTAACAACTGTCGCGGCTGTTTTGACAACTTAGGGTGTGATATACTGAGAAAATGTGTTGTCAAACCAGCCGCGACAGTTGTCAATCTTTGCACCCTAAGTTATCAACCACTGCTCTTTCAGTTGTCAATGTGTCACACCCTACTATCGGATTCATTTAGGGTTTAATTAAAACCATTTTAGACCACATTGGATGGTCTTGGGCTCAAAATTCATGAAAAACGTTTATTTTCAGAATTTTTACTGTTCATTGGGTAAAAATCCAATTTTCTGGTCCAACTTCAAAAATTCAAAACTTATTCCACAAAAATCAAAATGGAGTGGTTCAAAATTCTATAAAAACCTCTTTGAATCTTCTTTCAATTAAAGTAAGCTTATGAACCAATTCCATTTAAAAAAGCGTCAGGTTTTTGTGAAATTCACCTCTGTCCATTTAGCAAAAATCCTTTTTCCATATTCTGAACCTTAACTTTGCAAAATCATTAAAAATCGTATACTTGGCCATTTTTAATGTATTAGCTATCAAATTGAAGCTTAGGACGTGAACTTTAAGCATGCCAAATTTCGTGTGGAAATTAGTTCGGTAACTAAATAAAACATGGCTCTAAACTAATGTCCTGCTTAGGGGTTACAGCACCAACCGTTGATAGTTATACATAACCAAATGTCCACGACTCTTTTTTTTTTGGTGTAACACCATAATTTAGCCTCTAATCTACAGCTTGCTCTTGAGAGTTTCAGGCCCTAAAATGTTACATTATATTTGGGGATGAGATTTTTGAAAATCCCAGTAGCAAGATCAATCAACCAAAACATTAACATACATCAATTACAAGCATTTCAACCTTTTGCTATTAATAGGGAACTACTTTACCTCATACATATAGCACTCTAACATGCAATAGCCAAGACACATAAAGCAAGGAGTATAGCTACACAATCATCATCATTCTCATCATTTAGTTCAACCACATAATAGCACATGAAATTGTATAGCAATCAATACAACATTCAATGTTAAGGTCAATTAAATCTTACTACCTTAATCCAATACTCTTTGATTTTCTTGTTCTCCTTTCTTGCTTCCACAAATTCCAAACTCTAACATGGCAATCCACAAAAAGGGCAGCAAGAATCATCAACCAATCCACATAAGAATCAATAACATTACTCAAGTAACTCCTAAACCCCTTAAAGCTTCCATCTTTGTTCTTGAATTTTTAGAGTTCATTTTCATAAACCCTAAAAATTCCCTCTTGACCTTTTCCTACATGGTTTTTCATGTAGATTCCAAATATCTACTTGGATTTAACAAAATAAATTTCCCCCTTTTAGTTTCAGCTTGGCCGAACCATTAGGGTTCAAAATCTAAAAATTGTAACTTTGATTCTATGGCTTCCAACACTTGTTCTTTAGGTTTACCCTACACCATTTTTCATTTTGAACACAATGGAAGCCTTAAAACTTTGAAAAACACATCCTAGGGTTCAGATCTTGGTTTGGCTGAAATGGGTCTCAAGCTTCATAACAAGAAAACACTTCAAAATCAACCTACAACCCCTTGTAACCACTAGGATCTATCATACTTTGAAGTGTTCTAGCAAAATTGAACCATAAAATTTCCTCCCCTACCCCATAAGCATTTCAGCCAGCTCCAATGAAGAGGGAAAACCAGAAATTTCACCATACAAATCAATAAAACAAAGCAAGGATAATCTTAGAACAACTTACCAAACTTGAATCTTAGTTGGAAGATCAAAGATGCTTGCTTTTGGCTTGATCCCTTCACAAATCACTCTTGCTCTCTCTCTTTTCCTCTAGACCGAAGTGAGATCAGATTATGGGGGGAGGAAATACTCAATTAATGCTCTCAAAATATCTCATTTACCACATTTAATGAAAGTCCAAGTGTCAATTGCCTAAGCCTCCTTGAAACCTCTCTCTTAATTAACTTAATTCATAATGTAATTATATTCCAAAGTCAAGATCCTCTCCAATGGTAGCTTGACACTTGGAAAGCTGTAATTACCATCCATTAAAGGCTTGACAAGTGGCGACTTGTGAGCCAAGCAAAGTGCAAGACTCTGATTAACACTTTATCGGTGCACTTTTACTCCGGATTTAACTTCTTTTCTATAATTACAGTGCTCTGGCCTCTGTAATTATTTTCTGTCAGATCCATAAATTACTCTCCTCATTTTATCTTCCCAATTTGCCCTCTTTGTCTCAAATTTAATTTCCCAATAATTAAATAAAAAGGAAAACTATTTTCCTTCTCTTTAGTGATTTTTCCTCTTTTCAAAGGAATTAGGAAAAATCTTGGATACTTGAGGGTCTTCTTTTAATTTCATAATCTCTTATAATTCCTTGGGATATCATAGGAAATTTTCTTGGGATTTTATTCTCCTTAAAAATATTTATTTGGAATTTTCCAAATAAAGGACCTTAAACTAGCTTAAATCACCCTTAAATTCCTTTGTAATTTCTCCAAGGGCAATTTGGTCATAAAACCAATTTTATAATCCCATATAATTTTCAAGGAATATTTTCCTTATTTTTCCTTAATTTTCTGAGACTTGAAAATATTTTTCCATAATTATTCTTGACCAATTTTCCTTAATTAGTCAAACTTTTCATAATTGTCTTGGAAAACTATAAAAATTATTTTCCACCAAAATTCTTCTATTTCTCCTTGTCATTTTTGACCCTTAATTATTTAGGAATATTTCTTATTCCTAATTGCCATATTACTGGATGTGACATAATGCAAACTAAAATAAAAAATAAAGAAAGGTAATTTGGTAATTAAACAAATAAAATTTATTGCAAAAAGGTTCTTTGGGACTTCAGAATAATTTTATGATTTTAAGAGACTTTTTGTATTTAATTCCTCTTGGGTAGGCCTAATTGCAATTCTCCCAATCATTTATAAATGAAGGCATAAACCTCCAACTAGTTTCATTTTTAACAAATTAAAATTATGAAGATACGAAGATATACGATTTAGTATCAAAAGAGAATTGAAGGATCGATGTCAAGAGCGAACGACGGTGATGGAGGCAAAGGAGGCGGGGGAGGTGTCGGACACAGTGATCAGAGAGGGGGAGGCGAACAGGGCAAAAGGGTGGAGATCGGTGATACCCCTATGACTTTTATGTTTGGTTCTGGGAATAGAGCAGGCACGGAGGTGGAAGGGTCAAAGGAGAAAGCCTTTACATCCCAGTCCAAGAGATCAGTTCTACTGTCTTACAAAGAAAAACTCTTATCTCTGGGGTGTGGTGGTTTTTTGGTCTCACACAATGAAGATGAAGATATAGTCAATGAATGGAAAGGTTTTTTCTCCAAAA